CCAGATCCCTGTTCGTCCTTGCTCAGTCGAGAGGCATCCTCTTGCCACCACAGTAAATGAGTTAAACTGATCAGAGTAACTGAGCTAGAAGTGGTGATGACAGTATTTTAATGTATCACTATGGTATCACTCCTCAAGGCAGCAGGAAAGACGAAGCTCAGGCAGGTCCTGCCATGCTGCCCACCACTATCCAAAGGAACAGATAACATATTTTAAATAAAACAGGCCTGGCTAGGTGTGTTGATTAACTAAGAAAAAAAGATTAAAATTTAAAATATTTTAAAGGATCCCAAGCAGAGCTGCTTCCCTGGCAAAAGGAAAGGGATACAGAGACAAGGAGAGGCCATTAGAAGAGATGGAAAGGTGCCACATAGCAGTGGGAGAAGCAGATACAGAAGTCAGTAGTGCAGTAGCAACAGGCAAGCAGCAGCTCAAACCCTGCACATACCCCAAATTACTCAGCTGTGTGTCACCAGCACTGCTAATCCTGAAAGGAGGATCTCTTTCATGTCTACCAGTCCTGTCTTCTCCAAGTTCTCTCTCTGCAGGCCATTGCCTGCTTGCATCTTCCTGTTGAGAAGCCTAATAATATCTCAGATACTGTGGAGCCCAAGGTGTAAAGCCAACTGGCCAAGCAAAAGCTAAGAAGCTCTTTTGGAGATCTTAAGATCAGCCCCATGGAATAGCTAAGAATACCAATTTTATGATTAATATAGTTCTTCAGAGCAGTTGCAGTCTATCTACCATGAAAACACTTTAGAAATTTTGTAGTAGAGATAAAATGTTAGTTACAAAAGTAACAGACAGAACACAGAATAAAAAAATAAACAATTCCCTTATCTCCTTGAATAAGCATTAGAAAAATCCTTTTAAACAGTAGAGTGAAACAAGATTTAGTCTTAGAAATCAGTAAGAGAACACAAATACTGACAAGAAATAAAACAAATTAATATTTATCTGCATCAAAAGACACAGTATTACAGCTCAGGCAATCTTTGATGCAAGGAAGAATTCCAACATGGCTAAGCAGTGTCACTTCAAAGATTACTTAAGATCTTTCTTCTGGGTTTTTTTTTTGTTTTGTTTTGTTTTGTTGTGTTTTTTTTTCCTTCCCCTACTTTATTTTGCAACTCCAGTTTTAAAATACTAATGAAGATTTCATGCTCTTCTCACTGGGGTCATGAATCAAATTAAGTGCCTTAACTCTTAATGCCTTAAAATACTTGGGCATTTTGGCCATTTGGAACTAAAGAGGAAAAACTATGAATTAACTGGTACCTGCTATTGTTACTAGGAAGTAAGAATCCGTATGTAAAGCTCTGTTGCAGGTATCTACCAGTTAGTTACCATCCTTTTGTTGATTTCCCCTGCCAGCTATTGCAACAGAAAACACAGCTGCCCTCCTACCTGGACTGAGATCTCCATGGTAATGACATGGTAACCATGTGGTGCCAGTGCTCCATCATCCCAAACCAGCCACAGTCCCTCAAGGTCTGGGCACTGTTCCCTCTTCCCTATAAACTAAGGTCTGTGCAGTTCAGAAAGCACATCACCACAAACAAATTTTTTTGCCTGATAAATCTGCTGATGGGACGTTCAGCTTAGGTTCCTCTTTCTTACACTGAATAGCAATTTAAATTAAAATCACTGCCCATTCAAGCAAAAATAAACAGGTCTTAATGAATAACGCTAATGTTCACTATGCTCTAATGTGACAGAAAATTTTTGACACACACACAAAACTAGCTACCATGTAAAAGATTGCCCACAGAACATTTCTTACAATTACCTGTTCTTGATTTTTTTTATTTTTTTTTTTTTTTATTTTTTTTTAAGCAGAGAAGAATAAACTTTACATGATTAAGGTTAGGTCCAGCTTGTAGTATAGCTACAACCCAGCCCTATTCATAATTTAACTTTTCATTTTTATATATTGCCTTATGAGACAGAAACATGTTAGGAAAACCACAGAAAGTAATTCATTAGATGCAAATGTAGTAGGCTACTCTCCTAATAAAAGTAACTAGCTTTTTCTCCTGTAAAACAATTGCTGAATTTGACATCCTACTGCACAAGGGAGAATGGCACCACTAAGGCAAGAAGGGAGAACTCAGTATTCCTTCAGTCACTAGTTTTAAAACTCATGGTAAGCGAAGGGCAAACAGAAAGACTTTATATGTTAGGAATGACAGGCCATTTTATTACTTGTCATCCATCTTAATTTCTTCATTACAGGCCTGCCAAACAAGAACAACCAGAGCCTGTAGATATAATAATCCATCAGCACAGATTGCAAATCAGTTCTACTGTTTGCTCTTGTACCGTTCACCAATGACACCATGAGTGAAGACTCAGGTGACATCCACAAGTTGCTGCCGTATTTCTTTGTTCTCTCAAAAATCCTTTAAGCAAAAATTTCCAATAATCTCCTTAGATCTCCAAATGTAGTTTAAAAGCTTATTTCTAGAGAGATGGAGAAGTGGGAGACAGTTTTGTCTGTAAGTATCTTGGATTTTGGCTGTTTATAAATCTACCGGATGAATGTTCTAAAATTAAACGCTTATGCTTGTAACAAGGGTTTCTCGGTAGATGGAAGGCATTTTACACTCTACAGTCACTTTAGAAATCACTCAAAGTATGCCAGTAATACTGTGTAACAGTTTATGTTACTAAGAGAACACGCAATCCAACTCTGAAAAGCAGAATAATGAGGCAAGCAAGGATACAGATGACCACATTGGAAACTGGCTGCAACACTATGATTCATATATCCCACCTTGATAACCACAAGGGGTTAATCAAAATAATCAATTCACAAATACTAGTTAGAGAATTTGTGACTGCATGAGAAGGAAGTCTGGCTGGCTTGAAGTAAGTATCAATCCCAACAGAAGGCATCTAGAGAGGAAACAGCCTGGGCTCTTGAAAAGCCAAATCCAGATCATTCCAGAGGAAATGGTACCAAAGAAGGCTGGGGAGTCAAACAGAAAAACTGTATAAAGAAGCTGTGGAGCACCATAAGGAAAACCACAAGTTATGAGCCCAGGAAAAGCTAGGCACAAACTAGGGTCTGACTCCCCAGTATACTTCTTTCCTCTTGGTGATGTAGATAGGGAACTCATGCAAAAGCCATCATAAAGAAAACTTCAGTGCATACAGCTGTCAAACAGAATAGCGCTCCATCCACACAAAATCATACAACCAATCTCAAAGCAATTTCCGCTCCTTTCAGGAAGTTCTCATTACTGAGGTTGATTAGGCAACTTTTACAGCCCTGTACACACAAACAGCACCACTGTATAAAAGCCTCCACAAAGATTAACACTCCCTCCCCAAAGCCAACCAGCATTTCAGTTGTGTAAGCAAGAAATGCCCCCTTCTCCACAATATTCATAGAGGAGAAGTGCATGGCACAGTTTCTGGCAAAGTATGATTATTCATGTCCTTCAGGACCTATCACTGTGATTCCTTCTTTTTCGAAGAACTACTGATCTATCATGTGTGGAAGCTGCCCTAGCTGTTTGCGGTGGAGGGTGAAGAGAGTACTAACTCATACTGGGGAGGAGAACACATTCCCTCCCTTATCCTCATCTCTTTCACGGGGAAATGATGGGCTCTGTGGCAACCTCAATATCTCAGACCTGGAGAGAGGGACAGAAGTGGTGGCAGCACTGTGGAGCTGGAATTGACAGGGGTCGTCTGGATCTCATCAAAGTACCACCCTGAAGCACAGACAGCATGATGCTATCTGTGTCTAATGCTGTTGGTATCCCATACATTTATAATTTCAGTACTTACACAGTGCTAGTATGTCACATAACATGTCTATTTGGAGGCAGACTCATTCCTTTTTCAGTTCTTCTCTTCAATGTCAAACACCAGCATCCTTCATTTGTTAGAACAGTCACTGGTAACAAACATTTATTCTTTTTAAGGAGGAAGAAATAGTAACCTGGGAGGAAGGTGGATTTGGATAAACCCATAAAACTACTTAACGAGTGGATTCTAGCCTAGGTCTGATATCAGTAAGTTTTTCCCAGGAATTCAGTATGGTGCCCGTTGTGAAGTCTCCCTGAATGCTGCAGGAGATTTGCATTTTCTACTGTTCTCCCACTATTTCAGGAAGCAGCTGTGCCTCACAGCTGTAGCTCTTGTTGTGAAGGTAATGCAGAGTCTGGCTGACTCTGTGGACTTCAAGTCAATAGATCATGATAAAATCACACAGTGGAACTTGCAAAAAATGGTAGGATTCAATCACAGTCCTCATGTTTTCTCAGCTTTTATCCCAGCTCCCCTACATGGCTTAAGACAGAACTTGAGAGAAGACATTTTGAGTTGCTTAGATTTCTGAAGCTTTTTTTATTCAGAAGCCTTCATATGACATAGCAGTATCAGGTCCCTGTTTGACAGAGTATCAGGTTTACTCATATCAAGTTAGACTCTCCTTCAGATTAAGAACAGAATACGCTGACCTATTGCCACACAGAGTTACAGTGGCAAATTCCCTGGATTATAAAACATCTGTTGAAAAGCAGTTCCCTATCTAAAGCACACGGATTAGGTTTCTACACCTCTTACTCTCTTGCTTCTTCCTCTGCAACTATCACACATCTCTCTACAGTTTGGTCTCTGATATTGCTGGTTCCACTGACCTTTCAAGCTATCCCAGCATCTCAAATTTATGTGGTACCAGAACATATATTTGTGGATCAGTCCCTTTTCCAAAAAGTCGTAGAGCCAGTAGAAGAAAGGATAATTTCTTACACACAGAAGCTTTCAAGGAAATACTACACATTCTGCTGCATTAAGGAATTTGAGAGGAGGAAAGGTAACATGAAAACATCTTTGTCAGTGCTCTCTATTTAAGACTAGCAATTACAATGCAATCTCTCATCTGTACAGGTCTTTTGTGAACTGGCATGCAGCTCATTTGTCTAAATGATCAAATAAAGCATGTTATGACTCAATCAGTTGCATTGCCATAAAAATAGAGCTCATACCTACATTCACTTGCTGCAAGCAGATGGTTGATTGCTTTTCTGTCCTTTTACATTGCAGTTCTGTTTCCTTAGATCCTCTCTTTGTAGCAAGTGACATGCCAGGAGGTCAGTTTTCTGACAAGGTCATCTGCCTTCAGAGTATGAAGAGAACTGCACAGAAAGTGGGTTGGGCTATATTTAGAGTTTGGTTCAACTCCGTGCCAAGGTCCCCTCACTGTCTTTCTCTCTTGCAGCATCGTCTCAGGTCTATTCTTGCAGATTTCTCAGCCCACAGAACACACGAGGAGAGGAAAGTCAATCTGAGCTACTATTGGATCGAGGTTTTTGCAATTTGCTAAAAACAAGAGGATCAGGAGCTCAGGAGAGGACTCCTTAAATTCCTCATTCTTCTAGCATTTATTTTTCTTTATTGAAGTGGATTTTCCCTTTTCAAGTGAAGAAGGAGAGGAAACTGCCTGGGATACAGCAAAAAAGAGTCACCTGAGCTAAGGTAAGCTTGCTTTGTTTTTTTATTGTCATAAAAATTACAGGGCAATTAATGATGACTTGGATCAGATATGCTTTTTTTGCTACACCAATCCTGCATGTCAACATCAAGGGTTTTTTTTACACTGAAATTCTCAATTTCAAAATATCAATTTTTGTTTTCACTGTCTAAAGGAAATGGGAAAATAAAAGGCTATCAACATGTGCAATAGAATTAATATAAGTTAATTTTACCTGTTTAAAATAATGCAAAAAGCACACACTCATGTCAGTAACTATCATCCTGAAAGTAAGAGAATAACAGATGTGACTCTATGTATGATGATTACACGTAAAGGTGTGCATTTAGATGTGTTGAGTGATGTTTTACTCACATTATTTTGTTAAATATGAGAAAATATGACTTCAGGTTTGGAATACAGGGCTTGCTGCAAATCGTACATATATATAAAAAATAATAATAAATTAATAGATGAACACATGCTCAAATCCCCTTACAGTTCCAAATAAGTTGCTTAGTTTTAACCAGAGTACAGGCAGAATTAAAGATCATATTGAATTTGGTCTCCCTTCCACTGTGTGCTTTACACTGGCCCTGATTTGCTTCTCCATTTAAAAAAACATATGGTTGAGCAGTTTTCCTCAGCACCATTTTAAATCGTTGTGATTCTTCAGGGGAAAAAAAAAACCTGGAGAGAGTACAGCATTCCACGCCTGTCTGTAAGGAGATCCTAACACACTTCAAGTCACATGGACATCATGATACTGTGGTGTGGACTCCAACAGGAGGAGATTGTTATCATGTAAAGACACTCTGGAGCCACAGATTTAGCACTGGCACACACACATTAATGCAATATGACCACAGCAAACATACAAGAATGGTAACCTGAAAAAACAGGGTAGAAAGTTCCACTTGGCCTGAAGGTTCAAATACAGATGTGACAACAGTAAAAAGTTCTCCATAACATAAACACTAAGTAAAAGTCTTAGCAGAAACATCTGGAGAAAAGCAGATAGGTTCTGGACTAACACTAAGCAAAGGGCACGAGAGGTCACTAAATCACTGGGAGTTCATCTAAGATATGATGAGTGGGTGAATTCCTGCTCTTATTTTGGGTCATCTTTTCTTAACATACCTGCTGGTTAAACAATGCCATGCATTAGGGTGATAAAGTAGAAGATTACAAGATGAATTAGCCTAGTTTTTGTGGCACTTTGTGGCACCAATATGCTATCTGCATGTGGGACAATGTTATTTCCCCGTCAACACTGAAGATACCAGAGGTGCTGAGGGTGGCTTAAAAAAAGCAGTACAGATGTGACTGTAGCTTACAAATACAGCACTCACAAAGTCTGCTTGGCAGAGCAGCGGCAACCAGAGACTGCCTTTTGAAGGAGCTGAGCCTAAAAGGTCTCTGTTGCTCAAACTGCTGGGAGTTTTGCTGGCATGTGGATCAGAGGATGACAGCGATGGAAAATGGCAGTATTGCTTTGATGATAAACATCATTACTGGAAGAAGTTAGAGAGAAGCAGGTCTCGTGTCCTAACATAGACGAACCTCAGTCTGCTTCTAACCTCCTCCTGGTTGTGGCTAATCACGCTTGGTAGGATCTTTCTCTTTCTGTTCTCTCCTCTCCATTATAAAATTCCAGCACCAGAACAAGCTGCCTTCATCTTGCTAAGGTGTGACCTCCCATGGGCGAGACATGCCCATCCTATTGGAGATCACCATGGAAAAGAAAAAAAATTTTAAAAAGAAATTAAAAAGTAGAAAAAGCTCTATTTTTTTTTTTTCCCCCCACCTTTAGTGCAGGAAAAGACTGAAACTCTTCATTTCTATTAGTGGGGCCTAGATGGGGCTGAAATTCACTTTCCTCACTGAGAGTGGGAGGACATGGCTAGATGTGGTGACTGACATGTCCAACGTTGCAGAGGAGGAGGAAGAGGAGGCTTGGCTGATGATGTATGCTGCCAACTGGCCAGGCAAAGCTCCAAAGGGACACTGACAAACTCCTGATTTTGACACTGTCACCCTCAGCTGACAAGTGTAAGCAGGGCCAGAGCCAGATGGCTAAACCCAAACAGCACCAGGGGGATGAATAAGTCCCACCAGCAGGCAAATCCCTACTACTGCTTACTGTATTTATGTTCCTGCTTGGGGGCTTTCTCCTAGTGCAACCAAACAACAAACTATGCTGGGATTTTCCTCCCTCCCTGCCAAACTAATCTGACAGAAACAAGCTGCGTTTTTGAGGCTCTGAGGGGGAGTCAAAGCATACCTTAACTCATCCTGAAACAAGTACCTTTAGCAAGAGGCCCTGTCAGACACTATGGTATCATTGGCACATGACTCTGCAGTAAGCCAGCAGGGCCTAGAATTCGCCTTCACCCACCACCACTATCATTGCATAGCTGATGGTGCAGCCAATGTCCAGGTAAGGACACACAAAATGGAATGGAAGAGTGTGAGAAGGGTAAAGGTGGCACTTACACAGTCAGTCCAAGAGCACTTGGGTACAGTTCTCTGGGTGTTCAGGAGGGAACCCAATATCTGGTATGAAAACTAATTGCTACTGCTGCTGAAGCACCTACACATACCTAGAAAATCTCTTTTTAAAACTTTCATGGCTATAGCCATGACTCCTGAATACTTTCTAGGAAGGAACAGAGGATCATGTGCCAATACCTGCTGTATAGGAAAGAGAGATGCTTATATGCAGTGAAAAATTACTAAGCTACAGCAAAGCTAACAGTTAAATAATTGTAGTAATTCTGCTAAATATTTTTGCCTGAAACTTACTAGTAACAGGGGAGGGAATGAAAGTTCATACTCACAACGAGCCACATAGCCTAAAGCCTTCTCTGACCTGCTTTCACAAGTCTATGTCCCAAAAACAGGTGGAAATCCCCCTCCCCCGACAACAGAATTTTTCCATAGGGTCCCCAGCTGCATCTTTGTGCACCAGTGGCATAGTGATATCTCGTTACAGAAAACAGTCTGCTCTGAGGTGAGCAACAGCCTCACCAATCTGCAGGGCTTTTTTTTCAGTCTGATAAGTGTTGGGACTAACAGAAAGATGTTCAACACAGTGGCAAACCCACACTTGTCTACGTAAAGCGCAATAATGCTTCAAGCTCACATCTCTGCAGAATCAGACAGAAAAAAAATAAATCCCACTTGAAGATCTAGGTACTCTACAGGCCTGCAGTACCACACTGCTTTTGCAGCTGCATTTGCCAACTCCAAACTGGTGAAAACTGCAGGCAGACCATTTTCTTCTACACTTAGTGATTTACTTCTCACCCAGGCATCTTCGTGGTCCGACTCAGTACAGTTTTAGGGGTCTCAGCCCCTCAGCAGTTATTCAGGACTGGCACAGAACCCACTCATGTGAGAGAAGTTCTGCTGTGCACAGCCTCTGTATGAAAACAGGAACCCAGGGTCCTGTCAGTGCAGGGGAAGGGGAGGCAGAAGTAGTGGCCCCACCTGACCTCAGACACTGGCCACCAGTGTAACTGACGACATAGTTCGCACAGCCTGCCTGCCCCTGTCACATCTGCATCTCTCTCTTGCAATCATGCAAACACACATACATGTATGTACACACCTGTGCACGGATAAATGACAAAACTGCAGAGCATAGAAGCCTACTCTCTATCCATTAGCAGCAAAACACAGTATTTTAGATAAAGATAAAGCTTCTCCTTTGAAAAATGCAATTTATTTTACATGGCCTAGATGAAATGGAGAGAACTATGACATCTTTGCCTAAAAATGATGGCGAGAACAAAATTAAACAAATGAAAGTAGTTTACCTGGAATGTTATAAAACACTGTGCAGGGGTATGAGACAGTATATATATATATATACCCAGAGCAGCAGTGGTTATCTATACTTGGAAATACGTTTTCAAGAGTATTTAAAAATTGAGGACACCTGCTGGCCACTTGCGCAGATTGCTTTGTCATTTTCATAGAGCTGTTCCCAACTGCAAGTTTAGTGACAGCTAGAGAAGTAAGCTGAGAGTGCTCCAGTGGGGCACACGTTTCTTACAGCTGTAAGTGGAGTACACATACAAGCAAGCTCAGGGAAAGGCCTTTGCTGTCTCAGGGAAGCTCA